GGTGGACAGCCTGGGGCGGGCGGTGGCAGGGGCCGGGTGTTGCCTRTGTGCTGTGGCGGGAGGAGCTGTCCGTGTCACAGCTGGGGCAGGTGGGACCGCCTGGGCAGTTGCCCGTCGGGGAGGATGCGCTCCCGGCTGGGACGCGCACACCAAACCCCGGTGCGGCTGTCCCGCCTGAGGAGAAGGGCTGGAGCGAATGCGCCCGAGGCGCAGACCCGGCCCGCTCATCGTCCTGYGCCTGCCGGCCGTGCGGCCGGTCCCTCCGCGAGGGTCGGTGTTCCCCGAGGGGCGTTAGCCTTGTCAGACGGTTTCCCGCGACGTCCTCCAGAGCCTCCTTAAATCCCCCGGGGAAGCGGGCGCTATCAGTTGCAAATCCGCAGCTGAGAGACGGTTAATGTACGTGAGACCACATCCTGCATCCGAGCTCTCCGAGTGAGTGCYTCCCGCGTCCTCCTGCCCGCGGATTACGCGCGGGATCACAGTAATTKCCAGTATTTTTAGGACTCGCCCGCAAACCGCCGGCACCGCCAGCAGAAATGCACAGACGGCAGGGCGGACCCGCGCCGCACCCACGGCCGCTGCTTTTTCGTTTGAACCGAAAGTGCCCGTAAAGCTCCCGTTTGGAACGGCGCTCCGGCCGCCAGTTGGAGCAGCGGCGCTTGCCCCGTGCCCGCGAGGGAGCAGAGGCGGGCTCCGGGGACCCGGGCGCACCCGCGTCGGGTGTGACGGCTGAGGAGCGCCGGGGAAGCTTAAAAAGCCGAGCTCCAGCGGCGGGCGGGAGTGAAGGGAGAGAGGCGCTTTCTMCTCTTTGAAACTGCATTTCCCGAAAAGAGCCGCGGCTCGGGACGGGCGCGGTGCGAAGGCGCTCTATAAAGCCTGTAACTTCATACCCCGCAGTCGCACGTCGGGCAAATCCCGTCGCTGCTCGATCCGAGCCGTGGCAGCACGCAGTTGGGCTGGCGCTGTGTTTTGTTTAAAAAAAAAAAAAAAAAAGGAAAAAATCGTGTATTTTCTACTAGTAATGCGCGCGATTTAAAGGGAGGGTAATAAACCCGACCAGGGGAGTTGGCGGCGTCCTGAGCGCGTCCGACCCTGCTCTCCCAAAGGCGGGAAGGCACGGCTGCCACGGCCCCGCTGGGATGGAGAGCATATTCTGGAAGTATTAAACAAAAGCCCGGGGGCAAAGCCCGGCTCTAGGGCAGGGTCGCGGGGACAGACCCGCCTGACGGAGAGCGGCCGCTGAACGCCCGAACCTCCGCGTCCGGCGGGCKCCCGACTCTCGCCCTGCCCGGCTCAGAGCGATGGGAAGCGGCCTCTCCTTCCCCCGAGCGACACGGCCGCCCCGGGAGCGGGTCACACCGGGCTGGTGGCAACCCCCGCCCGCGACCCGGGCGTTGCGCGGCGGCGGAAAGGGAAGGCGGCTTTGGCGCCCAAAATGTAGGTGAGAGGATTTTGGCGGGAACGGCTCCGCACCGGCACAGCCTCCCGGCCGTAGGAGCAACAGGAAAGGCCCCCCTCCGACCCCACATTTAGGAWGAGCCGGTTTGGGTAGCAGCCCTGTAGGAAACACGACGGGCATYTGATTCGGTGCAACATCGGCGGGGCGGCGCCGAGCAGCCAAGCCCGGGCAGCGGAGGAGAGGGGGCAGGGGCGCTCCGGCGCCGTCCCTGCCCCTCCTGCCTGCCCGTCGGCGAGGAGCGCTGCCTGTGCTTTGAAATGGGAAGTGGTGGCAGCACCCCGAGCTCTGCTTTCAAGTGTAAAACACGCGTTTTGTTTCAAATGCACGCGGCTCCGTCGTTTGTTTGGATATTTGTGGTTTG